ATTACTGACATTTAGAAATGGGAGGAAAGGAGCTAAAGGTGTAGGGAAGGTGTGATACGTAGGGGAAGAACAAAAAGGGAAAAGAAAAAAATGTGAGAGAATGAAAAGATGAAAATAAAGTGTTTGTAGATGGGGAGGGGAGGAGGGGGTGAAGGGAGGGCAGAGGTAAGGGGAAAAAATGAGAATCAAGACTTGCCATGTAAAGGTACATGATCCCAACAATGAATGTAACTGTACTGTATCCCTAAATGTACCAATAAACTCAATAAAAAAAAATAGAAGCATAAAATTAAAAGAAATTCTTATTTAAGGAAAGAGAGCCAGAAAAAGACAAACAACAACAACAATCCCAGAATAAAAAATCAATGAATATGAAGCAGTAGAAAGATGGTAGACATTTATCCAAGTATATCAATAAAAACCTTTAATGTCAAGGGTTTAAACATACCAATTAAAAGTCAAAGATGGTCAGAGTGCATTATAAACAAAAGGTCTATGTTGTCTGTAAGAACTCATACCAAATATCTAGAGGAATGGAGGAAGATACACAAACAATGAATTAACAATATGAACATTAATCACAAGAATGCTAAAGTAGCTATATTAATGTCAGGGGAAGCAAACTTCAGAGTAATAAAACTGATCTGGGATAAAGATGACCATTGACTACTGATAAAAATCAACTGATCATGAAGATGCAACTGTCCTAAATGTGTAAACCGATCGTGCAAGAGTCAAAATACTGAAGGTAAATACAGACAGAATTGCAAAGAGAAATAGTGTCAGTACAACAGTAGGAGACTGTAATAACCACTAAACAATCACTAACAGATCCAGCAGGCAAGAAATCACTAGGACACAGCTAAACAGGCAAAAAGAGAGACACCATCACTACTGATCTTTCTATATTAAAAGGATAACAAAAAAGATATTATGAAAACCTGCTTTTCCCCTACTCTGAATGCATCAGTTCCTTTCAAGACACAATTTAACAAAGTTCTCACAAAAATATTCTGTTAATAGGTCTATACCTACTAAGAAAGTGTGTCATTACTATAACTTTCAAGACCAGGAACACTTGGCCCAGACAGACTCAACAGTGAACTGAATTCTTCCAAGCATTCAAGGTGCAAATGTCATCAACTCTCTACAACCATTTCCAAAGAAATACATTCACAAAGAGTAACTCCTAATTTATTCTGTGAGGTAAGCATTACTATAATTTGAAAATTGGACAAGGCAAGCCAGGTGTGGTGGTGCACAACTGTAATTTCAGCACTTGAGAGGCTGAGAAAGGAGGATCACTGTGAGTTTGAGGCCAGACTGGGCTACATAGCGAATTCAAGTCCAGCCTGAACTGCCAAGTGAGACCCTGTCTCAAAAAAATTAAATTAAATTAAATTGAACAAGGCTTTAGAAGAACAAAAACCTATGAGTAAATACATGTCATAAACAAAAAAAACTTTTCAAAAAATATGGGCAAATTGAATGGAACAAATAGATATTAATGGATATTAATAGATATATAAATATATTAACAAATATATTAATAAATATACATACAAATATATGTATATTAATAATTATATAAGGTAACCAACTGAAATGTATTTCACTAATCAAGTGATTCAACATTTGATAACTGACTAATCCTGCAAGTCAAAAGACTAAAAGAGAAAACATTAATAATCATGTGAACATATGTATAAAAAGCACTGAACAAAATCCAAAACTCACAATGAAAAATCTCAAGCTAGAAATACAGGGAACCTCACCGATATAAGAAACACTATCTTCAATCTAGGTATGGTTGTGCACACCTGTAATCCCAGCACAGAGAAGGCTGAGGCAGGAAGATTGCCTGGAGTTCGAGGCCAGCCTGGGGTACATAGTGAGTTAAAGGACACCCTGAACCGCATAGTGAGACCCTGTCTCAGAATGCAAAAAGCAACAAAAGAGCCAGGGATTTAGCTCAGTGGTTCCACCGCCTGCCTCGTGAGCTCACAGACCCAAATTTGATCCCCGGTACCACAAAAAAACAAAAAGCAAAAAAAAAAAAAAAAATGAAAATCTATCTTCAAAAGGATAAGGTTGATGCTAATGCTCAGTGCTTTCACACCAAGGGCAGGAGCTTGATAAGGATGTGCACTCTCACCCCAGGTACTGAACATTATACTGACTTTGAAAGATAATACAAACATAAGGGATACACAGGATGAACAAATTCACAAAGTCTGCATAATTTTTTTGTTTGCTGCCAACATGAATTGGAAAAAAAAAAAAAAAAAAGGAAAAAAAAACATTAAGAGCAA